AATAAATTTTTTGATGTTGTTTAAACATTTATTAGTCTATTACCTATTGGAAAACATCTCCAATAAAGACGCGGTCGCCAATTCAGAATGAGGAAGATAAAATCTCCAGATAAAAGATAAATTGCGGTGTTGGCCAGCATCATAGCATTTTGAAAAATATTTTTTTTTGAGTTATTAGCACTTCTTACCAAACCAAAAGATGCTTTTGGTGTTACGCCACTGGAATACAGCCCGATGTTAATTCATTAATTGTGTAAAAACATTTCTTACTTAAAAACTTAAAAGCCTTATTCTTAAATTTCATGTAGCTCTCTATATTTCGCAGATCTCGAGGTAGAGTGTTGTACAACGATATGAAGTTGTTTTTGTGTATGCCATAGTTCTAGAACGATTTGCTTTCAAAATGGAATTTCTGGTCTTATAGGTATGATGTTCATTTTGTATGCTGAAATCGTTGATGTTTCGATTTACATAGTTAACACATTTATATACATAAATACATGGAACTGTCAAGAGCTCATTTTGAATAAATGTGCGTTTGCAACTTTCGTCAAAACTAAGGTTTAAACACAATCTAGTTATTCGTTTTAGTGATATAAAAACTCTGTCGACGCTTGCAGCTCTACCCCAGCATAGGATGTTCTAATATAAGATAAATGGCTGTATACGAGGGCATAGTATAGTAATAATAGGCTCTTTTTATCTAAATATTGCTTCATGTGGAATATGGCATAATAGCCTTTATTTAAATTCAGCACACATTCTCACTTTGGGTGCTGAAGGAGAGATCTGCATGGAACCAGCAGCCAAGGAGTTTCACGCTATCCACTAATTGTAAACCAAGCTCTACATTCATTGTTGTCTTAGTAGTTGAGTGTATGGCTTTTCTAATACGAAAGTTGACTGCGTTGACTTGTTTTTATTTACGATCAACTTGTTTCTTTGACACCAAACTTCTATTTCTTCAAATACAACTAGGACGTTTTTATGATGTTCATCAACAGAACTTCCAGATACAGTGATCTGGTATCATCAGCAAACATTGTAACTTTTCTCCTTGAAATGATATCTGGCAAGTGATTTACAAGAAGTAGAAATATTAGAGGACCTAATAAGGATCCCTTGGGAACTCCCACATTTACAGGGAATTTATCTAATAACACATATCAATCTTCACAATTATATTTCTATTAGACAAGTAAGACTCTAACCATATATGATCTCTCAAACCTAGCGATTCTAATTTTGATAGAATGATATTTTTATCTAGCATATCAAGTGCCTTAGATAAATCGAACATCATGCTTACTACATAGTTGCCTTGATCTAATTGCGAATGAACAGAATTCCAAAAGTCAGAGGTTGCTGTCTCTACAGACCAATTTTGTCTAAATCCATGCTGATCATCAGATAGAAAGTTAAATTTCACTTCAAATTCATTGATAATTGTAGAGATTGTTCGCTCAGTAACCGTTGAGAACTCTGACAGAAGTGATATTTGTCTATAATTTTCAATATTTTCCATCTCACCCTTTTTATGCAGAGGCAAAACAAGAGCTGTTTTTAATAGATTAGGGAATATTCCGCTATTCAAGGAAGAGTTTATGATGGAAGTCGAAGGTACGTATGAAAGGAGCAATTGGCTTGAGAATTTTTGGAGGAAGTTCGTCTATGCCGCAGCTCGATTTGTTCTTTAGGGAATTTATTGTTTAATAATATATGGAACGAAAATAGAATTCGATGGATTTGATACTGAATGACTACAAGGTGGCACCGTGTTCTGACCAAAAGTGTCAGCAAGTTTTTATTACTTATATTAGAAAAGTAATCTATAAAAGTGAAACTCATCTCACTTTTGTTTGATATTATCTTATCATCGAATACAATCTGTTTGATTTAATATTTTTTTTCTTAAGTTCTTCTGAAGTTGCCATGTTTTCTTAGTTTTATTTGAGTCCGAATGTATTAGGTGAGAAGTGTATTTCCGTTTTGACGCTCTGATTTTCGCTTTGTACTGTCGTTTTTCTTAATTGTACATATCACGTAGGTTAGGAGTCTTCCCACGCCAGTGGGATTGTAAAAAATATTCTCAAGAGAAACTCCAAAAAAGTCCCTCTTTTAGGGATAAATGTAACATCTTTTAAAAATTTATAATTTGAGTTATAGGCAACTTTCGAAAAATTTGAGAAACCGCTTGTGTGGGATAGTTCAAAGATCAAAAAGGTGCATAGAAAAATGTCCAAGATCAAAAATTGAGAATTTGACATAGCCCCAAAATTTGCTAAAAAATCTGACTTCCAATGCTCACCATGTATAAGGGGATAAATAGAGGCAATATACCGGTAGAACCTTATACATATTCTCTAGGAGTTGGTCAAGAACCTCCCGAATACCGCCACTCGATATCTCTTTCCGTTCAGAAAACATCGAGATTTGAATTTCTGTAAAATTTTCCATGTTGCAAAGCAACTGTCTAACGGCTTATTATAAAAATATATTTGGAAATGTAAGGGAACAAAAATAAACCTTGTGGCATACCACAACTAATCTTACGTAAACAAGACGTACCCTTACGGCCCGTTCACACATGCTCTCCGTTTTACTGGTCCGTTTTATCGGATACGTTTTTTTTCGTCGGTGGCGTATATAGTTGTATGAGCGACTTCACACATGGTACAGTATACTGTATACAGTAAAAAATACTGTTCCGTTAAAATATGACATTCCGTTTTGTCATCGAATACTGGACGACGGAACAGTAAAAATATACGGATACGTAGAATTTTAACGGATAGATACTGCGTGCCTGGCGGGCGGTTTGTGCGGGGTGTAGGAGGGGGAGTGATACGACAGGTTTTGAGTCGCATTTTCTATTGTACATTCATAGAAAACGCGCGCGTGCATTGTGTGTAATAATTATTTTAATCACTGATCAACCATGTCAACCAAGGAGTGGGAAAAGTTAATAGACAAGGAAATTTTAATTACTTTGCTGGAAGATAGGCCAGTCCTTTGGGACAAGACGCTAAATACAAAGACAATACTGCAAGTATTGCAGGTTGGCGCGAAATATGCGTTATTCTAATGGAGGATTTTGAGGCTATGGAACAAAGACAAAGACAAGAGTTCGGTAAGTGTCTGTTTTATCATTTAATTACATTCTAAATAGCTTCATCCTGCCGTGGAACTGATCCAATTTCGGACATGAAATAGTTCACGAATTCTGTTCGAACTAAATTGGCAATATTACCACCTCGTATTCTTACTGCATGGGGTAGGTTTTCGTAACTAAATTCTTGAGATACGTTATTATCACTGTTTGAGCCCTCTTTGTCCCTTATAAAGTTGTATAGTAGTAATAGTACATGCTTTAAAAGTCCATACAGCTGTTGTTTTATCGATGTCTAGAGGCCGATGGAATATTCTCCACTTATTAGCTAAGATACCGAAGGCACATTCAACGTATCTCCTAGCTCTAGTCAAACGATAGTTGAATATTCGCTTATTTTTGTCCAGATGCGTCCCGCCAAACGGCCTTAGTAAATTTTCGTGTAATCCGAAACCTTTGTCTCCAATGACCACATAAGGAACTCTCGTTTCTGAGTCTCTTGTTAATGGGCATGGTGCTGGTATTTGAAGACTGCCGTCTAGCATCATTTTCCAACATGATGTCTCCTTGAATATTGATGAATCGCATTCTTTTCCATAAGATCCGACAATGACGTATACAAAGCGATAGTCGGAGTCTACGATCGCTAATAATATGATGGAAAAAATCCTTGTAATTGATATATAGTGAACCGCAATTTAGTGGTTTTTTAAGTCGGATATGTTTTCCGTCGACAGCTCCGAGTCAGTGGGGAAAATTAGCTTTTTTGTTAAATCCACTTAAGTCGTATAAACTTTTCACTTAAATTGTTCCATATGCATCTTGAAACTTCTTTAATAATGTTGCTAACAGTCGATACGCCAACGCGATAGGTGTAATGAAGATCTTTAAATGAACACGCGGATGCTGCATACCTGAAAATAAAACTGATTGTTTTAATACTTGTATTAGGAAGACTTGTTATGAAAAAGTGGAGACAGATGAGAGATGCCTGGGTGAGATCACTAAAAGATAAAAAGAATTGCAAGACGTCTGGTTCCGCTGTCTCAAACACGAAGCCTTACAAATACCATAATCAGATGCTGTTTTTGAAAAAAGTAGTTGCTGCTGGTGAAACGCACGAAAGCGTCTCTGCTAAGCAAACTGAAGAACACACCGAAGATGACACCACGACATCGAATGAACCTACAAACGAAGATGACAGTGTGACTACAATGACACAACTTGACAATGACAGTCAAAAGGATAAACAAAATCTAGCCCCCCCGCCAAAACGCAGAGCACCAGCCAAAAGATATTTTAATGAAATGGATGCCAAAATGATGTCCTGCATTGACTATCAGATCAAATCCGAAAAAAATTGAGTAGGATGATTGCAATTTATCGTTCTTCAAAAGTATTTTGCCGTCCTTGGCTTTGCTTGATGGTGACCAAACTTTGGAATTCCAGTCAGGGGTGATAAACCTATTACAGAATATTAAACTTAGGAGAGTTGGCCAGTCAACTTATGACTGGTCAGCCTAGACACAAACATCTGGTGCTAGTCACTATCAATCTCAGGGCTATTTTAGCAGACCACAGCCTACTGATAGTGCACTATCGCCAGTACAATCTGTATACAGTGATGGTACGTTAGACCTGTCTGAGTTTTAAAAATAAAAGTACGTACCTTAAAAATATCGCTAGTTTTTCTTCTGGGCAGATACTTTTCCTCCAACGAGTATCTTGCTTTTTTAAATCCTTTTCCAATAGTTTAAGAAGTTCATCAAAAGTAGACATTGGCATACGAAAGTAATTTCGATTCATCACCTCGTAACTGACTCATAAGTAAACTGTAAGCACCCTCTCTAGATCTTTGGGCGATAAATGGATGCTGCCAATAACGTCGAATATGCCTTCTCCGACGATAGTACCAATACAACAGGACAGCGTCCATCCTCGTAGAATAGCGGCGGTATACTGCGAGTTTTCTGTTCACACATCGCATCCAGTAATGACGGATCCGTTGAACGTTATACGGTACCTATGTCTGAACAGAGCATAAATTTATAACGTATCCGCTAAAAACGTACCAGTAAAACGGACTCCCATATGTGAACGGGCCGTTAGATGTTTCCACAAATTGGTAATGATTGAATAAATAACTGGCGAGTAATGAAATAAACAGATTCGGAACATCCGATAAAATACTAAATATTTAAAATCAAAATCAACAAAAAATAATCACAGCAACCTAAATCCGTCAAATCGACCATAGTGCATCGCCGCTCGTACCTGTAGCGCTCCTCGGCCGCACAGACGCACGTCGGCGACGTCCGTGCAACCTTACGGTACGCGCCGCGACGCCTAGCGTCGTCGGACGGCCAGTTGTTGCTCGTCCGCGACGCGTGACGCGCTGCACCGCATGGAGGAGGCGGGAACAGACGACGCCGATTCCGATACCTCCACGGCACGCACGACACAAGGTACATCAAAAGCACCAAAAGGACGCTAGGCTGCGCTCAACATGGAATGGATCGCTTGCATCGATAAAAGGTCAGAGCTTGATGTTGATCATGAATTAGTATCCAAGAATTTTCCCCTTTAAAGTGCATGATTGAGGGGAAGGGAGAACTACTTTTCTGCTTGGTTCCGGTACACATAATCAAATGACAGTCCGTGCACACTGGAGAGAAGCGAATGGGAGCGAGGTGTGCATATGACAAATGTCGCCGCGGTTCTGTTACCATTTATTACAGACTTTTAGCTTATTCACAACCACGAACAACGACAATATCCTTTTATGGTTTTTCTTTGTGAACTTACTCACTAAAATTGTATAAATATTGTCAATACATTATTATTATCAATATACAACGCGTTTTAATGTAACAACAAATTAATTTCAATGTGGCAGGGATATACCGTGATCCACTTTAAAATTGTTCGCAATTTGCATTTCGTAAACATCATAGTCGAACTCACGCTTAAGGTAACCATTAGATGAGCCATTTGAAACCTTAAAACTCTATTACAAAATATTATTGTTTATGAAATGTATTTCTCGAAATATTTTTACCTGAACACTCTCAAATACCCTTGAAGGATATGGACAATGACACACTTCAATGTAAAACTTCCTGCTTTTTACATTTACAATGTTAAAATCACGGGTTTCATTTAAGAAAACTTCATTGACAATCAAACGACCTTGAAGATCACACTCAAGGTCACGTTCATGATCACTGGCATAAGAATGCCGTCAAACCTTACAATTTTGCTCTGCTACCATTTTTTTTAGGAAACGTATTTTTAGAGACATTTTGAACTATTCATACTTTTTGAACATATTTATTTCGCGGTATTTTTTCGCGGGTAAAACCATTCCTTCAACCTTGATCAGGTTTTTATGTCTCTTCCTATTGTGGCTCAGACGTGATGCAGACTAAGTGGACAGACATTCACATTTATATGTACCTTGCAAGCTGTTAGGAACATTTTTTGACAGCAAGATGTCTTTTCTCAAACATGTTGATTACGTATGAACAACCTGAACAAAGCCTATCTGGCCTTGTTTCGGCTTAAAGATACACTTGACAACAAGGACTTTCTCAGCTTGCGCTTGCACTCCACCGAAAGTGATTGATGTGATTGCTCTGAAACGATTGGCTGATATTCAACAAGAAGGCTACCAAGTCCTGCAGAGCGACTTTTAAATGTAACAAAAGTCTCACACCTTCAGTTGTTTATAACGAAATAATATTCGTAACTTCAAGAGGTGGTTCCTTGGATTATTCTGAGCAAAAAGGTTCATTATAACCTATTTCCGAAAATCAACCGTTTCGGAGCAAAAAAATGCTGAACTTATTTCTTTTTAGTCATGAAACATATTAATTTTGTACCTTAATAATTTAAATTGTAAAATGTATCAATACATCTATTTAGTCATTAACTGTCTCTAACAAAATAATTTTCCTGCTTATTAAATACAATTTTCCGAAGAAAAAAAGACAAACAAAACCCCTCACACAACTGATAACGCCGTACTCCGCCTGCACTGCATGTACAGGGTGTTCCTTAATGATAAGCGAATATTTAAGGGTGTGAATCTACATGAAAAATTAATGTTAGTTTGCTTTATAAAATATGGTCCAAAAATGTTTCCTTACAAAAACTCAGGGTGTTGAAGTTTTAGGGAAAAAATGTAAATTAATTAATATATTCAGAACCGCTTCAGATATTTCACTGATATTTAGTACGTAGTGAAAGTTAACAAAGATGCATATTTTTCAATGCAAAAATAACTTTTATCTTTAACAGTGGCGTGCGTACGGCTAATGACTTCCATATTTTAAAAAAAAAAATGGTACGCTAATGGTTTTTTGCCAAATAAAAATTATTTTTGAAATTCCCGTTCAATTTAAAATAAATGATCTTTCTCGAGTTGCTTTTCTTCGATGAACCATTTTTGAGTAATTAAATAAAAACCGTTCTATTGTCTAACTTGTAAAATTATTATTTATTTAATTGGAAAAATTAAACACATTAGGGTTAATAAACAACAACAACTGAAAACATAACACTAAAACCAACGAAATGATTACAAAAATTGTTGAAAATGGCCCCCTTCGCTTAGTATGCATGCTTCCGCCCTCCTTCTCATGGAATTGCGCACTCGTTGAAATATCCGTGGAGTGTTTTTTATTCTATCACAAGCTGCAACTGTTCTTTCTCTTAATTCCTCCACAGTGTTAATGGGACTTGTGTAAACTAGTGTCTTAAGATAGCTTCACAAAAAGACATCTAAACTGTTGAGGTCTGGGGACGTTGGTGGCCATTCTTGGGGCCCACCTCGGCCAGTCCAACGATTTGGATAAACAGTTTGTAAATAATTACGAACCGCTACACTGAAATGCGGTGGTGCACCACCATGCACGTACCACATATAGTTTATTACTAACGGAACCTCATCAAGCAGCAAAGGCAACTGTTGTTGAAGAAAATTGAGGTGAGTCTGCCGTCAAGTCGTTTCGGTAAGAAGAATGAGCCAATAAAGTGGTTGCCAATAATTCCTGCCCATAGGTTAACCGAAAATTGGTGTTGGAAATGGGTTTCGGTTACGGCATAGGGATTTTCTGCCCATAAATGATTATTGTGGAAATTCTGAATGGCATTTCGAGTAAAATTAGCTTCGTCCGTGAACAGAATCATTGATTCAAATTGCGGATTTTGTGTAATTTTTTGAAGATACCACTGACAAAAGGTCACACGCCTTGGAAAATCAATGGGAAGTAATGCCTGTACTCTTAAAATATGGTAAGGATATAACAGATAATGCACTAAAATTCTCCAAAGAATTTGATGGCAAATATTTAAGTATCTAGTGGTCTTCCTCGTACTCGTTTCAGGATGTTCTTCGACTTCATGCAGCACTGCTTCCTCAATTTCAGGTGTTCTCACACTTAGAGGTCTACCTTCAGATGTTCCTTTTCGGACAGAACCAGTTTCAACAAGATGACGATGAATATTAGAAAAGGTTCGACTATCTGGCAAAGCACGATCCGGATATCTCGGGTGATAAATCCGTCTTGCTTGCTCACCATTACCGTCGGCAAGGCCATATACGTAATGCATTTCCGTCATTTCTGCATTTGAATAATTCACCATTATTAACAAGATTGTAAAAGATAAATAATGAAAAAGATGTCACAGCGAACAGATTTTAATAACGGAGACCTGTCAGATGTCAAAAGCCAGTGGCATATTCCAGAGCAACTAGATATTTATTGCTAAATTGCTTTCTTCAATTATTACATTAATTTTCTCGGACAGTAGGACGGTTTTTATTTTTTTATTCAAAAATCGCGCATCAAAAAAAAAACAATTTAAGTGAGATTATTTGTTTTAAATTAGATGACAAAGTCAAAAATAATTTTTATTTGGGAAAAAACCATTGGCGTACCATTTTTTTCTTAAAAAATATCGAAGTCAATACCCGTACGCACGCCACTGTTAAAGCTAAAAATTATTTATGCACTGAGAAATATGCAACTTTATTAACTTTCACTACGTACTAAATATCAGTGAAATATCTGAAGCGGTTGTGAAAATATTAATTAATTTCCATTTTTTTTCTAAAACTTCTACACCCCGAGTTTTTGTTAAGGAAACATTTTTGGACCATAGTTTATAAAGCAAACTAACATCAACTTTTTATGTAGACTGACAGCCTTAAATATTCGCATATCATTAAGGAACACCCTGTATAATCGCGTGTTGCCGTCGATCGACATCGTGTCGGTAGACAAAAAAATAAATACCTTCATCGGAAAAAAATTATTAGATATTGATAATTTAAATCACATTTTATTATTCAGTATGTATTACTGTATCAGTGCGTGCGTTTTGATACAAAAGAGACGTTTTCGGTACGCGAGTATCACGATATGCTTATAATTTACGGAGAGGTTCATTGCAATTCTGAAAAGGCTAGGTGCATTTACGCAGAACGTTTTCCTGGTCGAAGGCTACCCGCTAGAACATTCGTGTCAAGCCTGCGTAGAAGCCCAGGGTTCCCATTTTGAACATCTATTGTGATTACTAATACATTTAAGTGTAACTTTATGTGATTTACGGATTTTGTTTTTTTCTTTCTTCGTGCAGCGCATCGTTTCAAATAAGTGACTGATAATCGTGGGAATTGGTGGTGTGTATCGCCACGTACCGGTAAGTCCTGTTATTTTTTTGTTGAGTAAATGTACTGTACTGAAAGCGTTATTAAACAAAAAATATTGGCAAAAAAATTGCGTAAAAGTATTCAATAATTCAAGGCACATTTTCAACCGCTCGTATCGCGGTTGCGTTGCAGCGTTGCCAAATGTTTGAGAAAATTTAATTATATACGACTCACTTTCCTCGAAAACGATTGATTTTCGGACATAAGTTATAATGAACCTTTTTGCTTAGAATAATGCAAGGAGTGACCTTTTGAAGTTACGAATATTATTTCGCTTACACCCTGTATACTCAGATGTGTTATT